TCACTGAAGAAATTTTTCATTATATGTTCTGGAGAACATTTTTTAGGTTGGTTTTGCATTTTTCTACTCTATATGGATATATTGTTCTATCACTGCATGCTAATATAAAATCTGGAACCAAATACAAGCTTGCCAATATTCTCTCACCAATGCAAAAAAAAGTTTATAGAAACCTGTAATTTCATATTTGTATCATATGAAACAAAGACTGTGAAAGAAACAATATTTTAAATTTGATTTTTCTCTTTTTGAATGGAACATGTGATTTTATTCTAATAGTACATGCATCATTCTTCTTCTATTTAGGTGGCTTTTCATTCACTGACCCTGCCAGACAGAGGGACTACTACTCACGTAAGTGATCTCACGCAGTTAGCTAAAAGCTTCTCAGCTTTAAAAAACATGGAGACCGTTTTTACTAATGATTAAAAAAAAAAAAAACAAACTGTGGAAGAGCTAGTTAACTGGAATCTTATTATATGCAAAGCCTTCTGCATATATGTAGGCCTGCTAAGTTTGTACTACTTCTATGCTCTTGTCTCACCTTTCCTTTTTTGGGAACTGTGAGGGAGTATTTTGTATAAGAGACTTCATCTCAAATTAAGGTCATGACTTCATTAAATGCTACCCTAGGGAAATACCATCCCTCTTGCAAAGGGTGTGGTAGGGGGAAAGTTGTGGCTACAAGAAGCAGCCCATAGAACCTTGGTAGATCTGCCAATAGTAGATTTGCTCTAGCAAATTTTATCTGTTCCATTCTAAGATTTTTTTTTTCTCCTCTGACAAAGGAACTTCTTTTGAACACTTTTTCTAAATCAAGTAATTCCCTTGGGAGAAATGCATGCAAAAAGCAAACTCCTTACCAGAATAAATTTAGGCTATCTTCACTAGGTGTAAGATGGAGACTTAGCTGGATTATTAGAACACTTTGAGCATAGCATGTTTGATTTACTTCTCATGCAGAACATTGAGTCATTATATATGGAGTGTAGAATATGTTGTCTGGAAGGAATAGAAGAGTAGCAAGCTATGGTGGACTGTATGTTGGATCAAATCAAAGGGTTGTATAGCCTAGCATATCCTATCTTCTGCAGTGATTTCTACTCTTCCCTAGGCATCTACTGTATAACAGGATAAATATATAGAGATGACTCTCGTGTGTTTGGGTGGATGATGGTTTGTTCATACTTGTTTTCGACAAACTTCTGAAATAGTGGAAGTGCCTGGTGGTTAGCAGTGCAGACAACAAGTGATGGTTGTGACAGTAGATGAGATCTATGGTGTGTTTTTCCCAGAGCAGATGTAGTTGTTCAATAGCCCAATACTAGCTGTATATATTGGTGCAAAAAACTTTCAGAATCTTTAGCCATGTGTTTTGTAGATCCAAACACTACTTGGAGCCAGGATGACATTGATAGATACCATTGATGGACAGTAGGGTGAAATGAAACACGGGTTGGGGAAAAAAGCCTGAAATCTACCTGTTTTGCTGCTGCTGTGCTAATGACGTTAATAAGGCCTGCTAGTATTCACAGTTAAATGTTGAAAGGAGATGATGAAAATTCTGCCTTTCAATTTCAGTGTGAAACTTTTCAATAATGGCAATTCTATAACACTCATTTAAAAACGATGATATAAGAACCAGGTGTTTGATCTATTGTTCTGTTATTTCTGTCTCTCCTGTTACTGTAGTTTGATTTTGTAAATTGGGAAACTGTCATATGTTTTTTAATTCACAGTATATATCCTAAAAGTAATGGCACTTCTAATCATTTGTTTCCTTCTGCAATTAGAATAAACTAATTTGTGAAGGAAAACTAGCATAAAAGTAATATCTCATTTCACTGTCTCCTAGTGAGTAGCAGCAGTTTATTTTCTTCTTTTTTTTTATTGTTTCAGAGTATTATAATCATCCAGGTTATCAGTACAGCACACCAAGGAACTACGATGTTTATACAGGTGGACTTACTGAAGAGGAGCAGCTTGAAAGGGCAGTGCTTAACAGTCTTAATGAAAGAGGTAGGAAACTTACAGCATCTTGTATTTCAAGTTATGACTAATACTGAAAAGGGATTTTAAAATGTCTTATTCATTGTTTGTTTCCAATATTTTGAAAATATTCTACTCAGAAACAGAGTTGAAGAAAATTGCCTGGTACAGTTTTCAGAGAATGCAATGTAAGGATGTAGAATCATTTTTTTTGTGTAAAATGCATTTATTCATAATTGTTTACTGTTTGATTACATTGTTAGTACTATGGTGAAATGCTTTTATAACGAAAAAATGGAGTCAATGAAGCTGCTCTGCCAAAATGTCTTACTATACTGTAAACAGTAGTATGAGGCAGTATAAGAGAAGAATTGATGTGTTCCCGATATTTAAACCGTCTATGTCTGCCTGTTTTTGCTTTTTATGCATATTTAATTGAGGAGCAATGTACTATCTTCTTACTCTTCACGTTATCCTTTTCCACTTTAGAGAAAGCTTGTACTCTAGCTTTTAGCTGAAAGACCTAACAAATAGAAATGTTAAGAACTAAAAATACTGATTTTGACTGAAATGTGTTAGTTGGTTTAAAATATACTCATTGGGATATATTTTGTCTTTTTATAGTGCAAGTGAAGTCAAAAGGGAAAGAAAAAAATACTTTATAGAAAATATTTCTCAGATTCTGAAAACTTAAAGAACTGAGGGAAAATCTGTTTGTTAGAACTTACAGTGCATTATTAGAGCACAACGTGTACAACTTTCACACAAAGCTAAGGTTTTTTAGATTTATGTGATTATAAAAGGACAGAAGTTAACATGGTATACGTTGGTATCAGGATAGAAAAGTTTTTTTTTTTTTTTAATCAAATACGTATTTCTTGCATGCCAATGTGGATTCTATTGGGAATTCGGCCAAAGGCTTTAGGTCCTTCTTAACAAATCTGAGAGATTTCGTTTCAATTTTTTGACGCTATAACATTTAATCTTAATAAAAATAATAACGTGACTAGATACTTAAAAATGTTACTTTCCTTCTTTTTTGTTATCTTGTGATTTTTAAATTCCTGAGTGCAAGGAAGCATTCCTCAGGAAAAGGAGGTAGAAACGCCCCTACTCCTAACTGCAGCTCTTTCAAATTCAATGCACCATTCATAAATCTCTGCTCAGAAAATTAATTTGCACCACTATTTTATGGCTGTCAGAGAAATACCAGGCGAAATATGAAAATAATTATCTTGACAAATCATTACTGCTTCCACTTTGGCACCTTCTCTGATTCTGTTTTTTATAACAAAGAACATGTCATCTGAACTGGAAGATACTCCCCAAGGCGGTGGTTGAAACAGTGTCCTTGCGGTAGGGAGAGGCTTTACTGCTTCGTGCGGAAATTGACTAATATGTTCTTAAAGTAAATACAGCTTTTTGCTTAAGTTTGTTTCATCTATTGTGAGACGTCACCTTGGAGGGAGGAGTGCTGACTTTTAGGGGAACTGAGAGGGTGAAAAGAGGTGAGTTTTCCAGTTATCATCTTTTTGTCCCCTTAATCTTTCAGATAATTTGGCTTCTAGCTGTCTTCAACATTGTGAAAATAGTCTTTTAAAAATGTACTGTATTTTCTACAGCAAAATTATTACTTAATAGAATAAGAATAATACTTAAAAAGAATATTTGCTGTAGGAATGATTGTCATCTGAACAGTTTCAATCAAAACTGTACTGAGAATTTTAGAAGATAGTGAGGGCCTTAGATTTGAAATAAATGAATAAAATATGCAGTTCATCAGGTTTGTCAGCAAAAGGTAGCAAATTAGATATCATCTAAGGAATTAAAAAAAAAGTAGCAAAGTCATATCAATATGTCATCCTATGAAAATACTAGGTTTTGGGAAGGGAGGGATCTAAAACAAGCTTTAGATCCCTGAAATGGATACTTTGTATTTTACATTAAAGATACATATTATATCACTTCTAACAGATTCAATTTAAGAAAAAAAAAAAAATCCTGTAAGGGTTTTAGTATTAAGCATTTTGAAATCTTTTATCTTCAGGAATGTGAACCATGTTTGGTTTTAATTTTTTAGATTACTAGCAAGGAAATAGCAGACTACTGTTTTTACAAATGTACAAAAGATAGTTGCTCTTGAGAGTAGTCATCTTTGTAAGTGCTAAATGCTCGTGGGTATTGAACCATTAGACTATAGGCAGCTAATGAATGGTTTATGTGGTTTGGATGTGGCTTTGGAATCATGTTCTCTCCTTTTGTGGTCTTAAGTTGCATTGTAGAAAGAAAAAAATGTTAAGATATTACAAGAATCTAAAAAGTCTGAAGATGTCAAATTCTAATCTCACCATAGAAAAGATATGCACATATGATTGGTATTACAATAAGATAAACTTTTTATATTTTCACTGCCATAAAATGAAGACAGTTGTTAATAACTATGACAGATTTATGGTAAGATAAATAGTTAAGTTTTAAAGGTTTTAATGTATCAGTGTGGAACACCTGCAGCTTTCATTGTAGCCCTAAATAATCTACATCACTTAAGGTTAGTTACCTGTTTTTCTATCTTTTTGGAGTATCATCTTGTATTTGGACAAAGATAAATTTTCAAATATACAAGGAAATTTATTCTTATTTGGAGACTGCCCTTTGGTGAAAAATGAGAGAGGATTTAAGTACATCCTAGCATGAGTATGTCTCCCTGGTAGATAACTGTGGCATACTAAGGCACATTTCTAACTGTAGTTTGAGACAGCAGCATTTCTTAAGACATAGTGGTGTCTCTTTTGAGTACTAGTTGCAGTTTTTAAACTTTACAGATAAGTGAAGCTAGAAAATGTTTAATTTTGTAATTACGTCCAATATACTTTTGTGCTGTCCAGTGTATATGTAGGTGTAGTTTTCAATGGTTTTGCTACAGTTTGCTTTAATTTTTTCTCCCAGCTGCCATTTTCTTGTCTTAAACAGCAATTTACTTTGGAAAAGCTAGACTTTTAGAGCTCAACTTTTAAAATATTTCAGGAAACGAGCTTCTTGGAAGGTAAGATTCCTACTAATAGGTATACACCTTATTTTCCCAAGAAGGTAACACAGAGCATGTAACTTATCATATCTGCCTTTGACAAAAAGGATGAGATAAAACTTACTGTGATAATAAGCAATTAGGATATTCTTCACTGGCAATTAGTTTGAAAAATAATTAGCTTGAATAAGCACTGTCCTTTAAACATGGTATTTTTTTCCTAAAAGCATGACATTCTATGCTGCTTACAATTGCACGGATGGTGAAACAGGTACTTAGCATGAACAAAAATACGTGATATAATTTGAAACAGATAGTGAGATGGATGTAAAAACAGGTATGCCACAACCAAAATTTAGTACTCATTCCTCTTTTTGCAACTGTAAACTATGGGTTGGCTGAAAAAATTATTGCAATAATTTTGATTTTTTTTTTCTTAATTGTACATATGCTTTTATTAGGGTTTTCAGGCCACAGAATGTACCATTGCAGATTTAGAGTTTTGATCCATTCAGATAATTCACTGTATTAGTATCCTACTAGGTTATTAAAAGAATCAATCAGTGATAGAGTACAGAATTTCCTGGTATCAGCTTTTAACATAAATTTAGACAAAACATGCATCAAACTTAAGCTCAGTGATTCCTCTCGTATAATCCCATACGTGGGTTAGCAGAACCCAGTACAAAGGTACTGTATTTCTGCTTAATCAGCGTTCAGGCATTTGTGAGCTGCAATTTTATTATGCAGTATCTTAACAATTTCTTTAAAAAATTAATAATTAGTGCCTGACACTGTAAAAGAAATTGCTAAGGTTGTTTATATGAGATTTATGAAAGCCTCTGTTTTAACAGACTGTCAAACAGACATAACGGTTTAGGTCCATTTACTAAAGGGAGTTAGTTATTTATATCGTTTCCATTGTCAATTTTAGATAGACAGTTGTCCCAAACAGAAATTATTTTAAATAGTATTAATATATGTTTCTAGATTTTTTTTTAATTTTCATTCTTGTTCTTATAATTACAGTCTTATATTGGTTACAAAGTGAAATAATTCTTCCTTTAGTTACACCAAAGAAACAATTTTTAATATAAATAAATCGTTGTCTTTATGATATTTAAACCAAATTATTATTAGGAAGTTAAAATATCTGGCTGTTAAGTTGTTGTTGTTGTTTAATTTTGGCAGCCGGCCCTTAATGTAACCATAGTGTGTTATGTAATCATCTCTTACCTATTGTATTTCTTTGCTGTTCTACCCATAGGAAATATTTTGATTAGTATGCGATGTGGGTTTGGATTTTTCTTAGGGTTTTTTGCAACTTCTAAATGTCCGTTTTTCAATCTCAGCAATGTGTTAAGAATCCCTTGAAAGCTCATGTCTGTTTACAAAGGATTTTAAGACTAAACTTTTAAAACATGTAGATGATAACAAAGTCTTTATATTTTGGGGTTAAACAAAACTATATAAATATGTAGATCATATAGATATTCTTTTTATATGTAACAGTGAAATGTCTGTATACACATTTCTTTGGTTCTAATAAAAAAAAAAAAAAAAAAAAGGCCAACGTCAAAGTAGCATCTGCTCTGTAGTTATCAAATATCTATGCCCCTACCTTGCCTCTTTGAATTTTTAAGAGTTCCCATTTATGTTTTCTTGTATTGAGACTGGGCTTTATATTAGTAGTCTATGAAATTTGCCAGACCCATGGAAGACTCTAAAAAGAATGAAAGTGATGTGATTGTATAGCAATTGGCTATAGTCTTATTTCCCTTTTTTTCCAATCAGTGTTATCTTAACCTCTTACAGTAATAAGAATGCCAGTCATTGCATTTGATTACAATCGTTTTCTGTAGAAATATCTTAAAATAGGTTATGTGCTCAGCAGTGAAGTATCGGAGGTAAAATTAGGCATCTTCTGTGAGAAGGTGTAGCAAGGATCTTGTTCAGCATTGGATTGGATGGGAAAAAATATTCCAAAATATCTTACTCTGTAGCA